ATGTCCTGTTTAATATTATTTGACCTACATCAACCTGATCAATAGAAATAAAAGGATGAAATGAGAGAAGTTGACCAGCGTCCTCTGTTGGGAGTCTTGTCTTGTTGACATTAGGTACTGGAGCTAAAAAAACAAAATAACTCGACAGTTGGTGTGAGCTGCCTGAGCTGAAACTTTTCAGAGCATCATTTACCGACATTTCATCCGTTTAAAGTTTGTTCGAGGTTCGTTCAGATGCAACTTTAACTTAAACCACGCTGAAATGTTTTCTTCAGAGAGAGCAGGCTTTCTCATTGTTCAGTCTTTTTCTACATGTTCAGAAATAAACTTTGATAAAAAGAGGTCTGCAGAGTCCGACATCCTCTGAGCATCTCAGGGTGAACGGCTGAGATGTCCTCTCCTCTCCTCTCTCTCTGTAGGATTGCAGGATGATAAAATAAAATATTTTCTCCTTAGTGCTGTCCAAACCAACAAACTGTTAAAACTTCTGGTTTTTCAGAGGTGCTCATTGAGGATAATCAGTGAATCGATGCACATGATCAACATTATCCAGCTACTTATCCTCTTAGTTCTCGTAGGATGAACTTCGTTTTCCACTTCAGTCTTTCTGCAGGTGTGAGCTGCCGTTTTTATTTTGTTCTGACATGTAAAACATTCGAGCCGAAAGAATGCATTCAGCTTTTCTTTTTCTTTTTTTTACTTTGTATACCATGATGTTACATGATGTAAATTGTAATTTTAGTGGCTGGTGTGCGGGCTTCGAACAGCGGTATATAATAATGATAAGAATCTACAAAGACAAGCCTCAGTCTGCCTTAATCTGCAAAAACATGAGAAAATGTTGGAGCCAACGGAGGTTTTTATGGTTTGTCATGTTGATAAAATCACACAAATCTTAACTTTTTTTCTTTTTTTTACATTATGGTATGTGAGAATCTGTGAAGCAGAAAATTGCACTTTACCAGAATCTCCATCATTTCTGCAGAATTGAGCCAAATGGTTTACAGACGTACAGCAGAATAAATTACAGTAGTTTGTTCAGTTTGACAACATAAAGTCTTCAAGTGTAGAACCACTAGACTGAGGAACAGCTTCTACCCTGAGGCTGTTAGACTCATGAATCTCTAACTAGAATAATCACTGTGAAAAACCATATCATGTTGCTGCTGATCTGTTTCATGTTGCTGCTGATCTGTTTCAATGTTGATGTGTTCATGCGTGCACATCTGCTCACGAACTCATGTTCATGTTTGTGCTGATGTTCAATGTTTTATGTTATGAGTGCTTAGTGTATATTTAGTTGTTTTTCTTAGTTCATATCTTAGACGTTATTACTGTTTTTCTTAAACATTTTATTGTTGGATGTAACTGGGACCCCGTGTACATAATTTCGCTCCACCACATGTACCACATGAGGTGCGAATGACAATAAAGAAACTCTGACTCTGATAAAATAAGGTGTCACATCATGTAATGGCTGATTAAATCAGAAAAATATTTGAAATTGTTTAGTTGAGTAAAACTCACGTTCATGCAACTCCTGATGTGCAAAAGCTAGAGCATGAAGTGTTTTGGGGCAAACATGCACCATGCCATGGGTCAGAGGTCACCACTGCATTTGAAGGGATGTGAACCAGAACACTGCAGGCTGGTAACGTCCGTTTCTGCTGGGGCAACGTGACGAAGCAGTCGGGAGTTTTTTAGCATCACATAGTTGCAGAACTTTTTAACATGTCCACCTCCACCTTACTTATGCCCCACAGTGAAGAGGAGGAATGTTTGAGTTCAGGAGAAAATGACGTCGTCGTCAAAACTGTGGCTCTGTTACAGTCAGACACTATGAGGAACCCCGGGTCCATCTGGGGAAGTTAAACTCCTCCCTCCCGCCGTGCTGCACGCTTCTGGTTATGGAAACACTGATGCTGCAACGCTTCTGCAGCTCCGCCGGACACGACCCCCTCAGCTCAAGAGAAGACAGGAAGGCCGGAGAGGGAGAGGAGGCAGCAGCTTCTGCAGCCGGCGTGAAAGCTGCTCGTTTACGGACCCCCTGCTGGGTTAATTCAACCCCTGCATGAGTGTGTATGTTTTCACACTGGCCCACTGAACTCTTTCATTTCATGCCATCACGGCACCTCGAGCGTGGACAAATGGACTCCAAAGGGGTGAACACCTGACAGGCTCAACACAGCAAAAGATTTCAACGAGAGAGACTATTTGTATTAAAATCACTGTCACTTCTCTTGTATTTTACTCAAAACGTGTTCTGTTAAGATTAGAAGAGATTTATCTGAATCTGTGAAGGAAAAAAGATGTTAAAGATAAATGCACGAAGAGGTATGTGCGTGTGTGTGTTGTGCCTTCCTCTGTGTGTTTTCACAGCTGGTTTTAATGAAAAGGAACGTGGAAGATAAGCAGCAACTAAAGGGGAAAAAATGGATTTTATGGGACTACCATGACAGAAAACAGCACATACATCACAGCTCCTCTGCTGATTCAGGCATGCAGGTGTTTTTTTCAAACTGTGGCATTTATCTGCATTTAAACAGAAGGAAGGAATCCAAAAACTATGATGGATCTGCTCTTAAACTGCAGAATATAATCCTATTGGCATATTTACACTTTCAATTAGAAAACAAACTACTGCACGTTTGTGTTAACAGACCTCCTTCATGGAAAATGTTTTGTATCATATTCATTTTCTGTCAGATTCACTTCACTTTTTAATGTATTTGCTTCCTGTTCTGTTTAAATGCCAAATGAACGGAGCAGTTAAGGATTTTGCATCTAAATCTGTAAATCTGTCATTGTGATTACAGTGAACCATCAGTAAAGAAGGTGGTTTGATTTCTAAAACCTTAGAGGTTTAATTACTAAAGCTCTGGATCTTTCCGTTTTAGTTATCCCCAGCAGATTTAACAGCTCATTCTGGGAAAGCAGATGTTTAAATGGCTTGTTAAATCTGTCTTCAAGAATTTAGATGTCGCCTCTTGTTAAAAGGAGGAAAAAAAAAAAAAAGAGTCAGGTTATGGTGGTACTTTAGTTCTAATCACAGGATGAAGATTTACAGGTTACTGTAAAAACACTGAAGTGGTGGTCTTATAAAATGTTCAAAGACATGGTGGATGAAACATGAAACCAGGCGTTTCTGACTCACACTAGTGGATCAACTTGAGTACGATAACCGTCTCTAATTGAACAGGATATTTTTTTACAGTAACAGCAGGACGCACGGCTGTCAGAGTTAAGTTTCTCCGTCACAGCAGAAGAAATGGAGGCCGGGCAGAAGACTTAAAACTGTCCCTCTGGAGACGTCGGAGCAGCAGTTAGTGGTGTTTGGACCATATCCCACTGCAGCACACTCAGAAACTGGCTGCACATCTGCTTTGACTCGTGTCGACCACAGAAAGTAATTCATCCTGCAGAAGATGGGGGGGTTTAAGTAGCAGAGATTTCACCTCCCTGAAGTCTCATTAAATTGCTGCAGATCACCTCTGTGGTCAACTCCTGTTCTCACTTTACTCTTCACCAAATGTTGTACAAAAATAAAGTTTCATGGAAGTAAAACAAAATGCAGCTTTAAAGGGGTATGATGTTGAGATGAGCACTTTTCCTAGAAGGTATGCTGCTGGTATCAAAAGGAAAGCTGGGTTTTCAGGAGACGACAGCTGCAGTGTGAACTTTAACACATCTTCTTCTGAAGACAGATATCCACGTCAAAATGATACATTTACTTATTTTTTATAAAACTCCATCTTTGTAGACCCCTCCAGCTGGTCCTGAGAAACACCGACACCTACAGGTCAAATACTAGAACTACACAATTACAAACGTAAGAAACTCACTTTGTAATTACTTTAAAAAATATATATTATTCCACAGTTTTTAGTTGAATAAACAAAATATGATTGTTCCGTTTATAAAACAAACCTTAATAAAATTATGTAATATTTGTTTTTTTAAACAGATCAAGAAAAAAAAACTAGATTCTGAATAAATGACGAACACACCAGGTCATGATGCGCCTACAGGCAGAGCGATGATGATTATGGCTGTGTTGGTTTGTAGCGTTACCTAAATATCTCGTGAACAACTGGACGGATCTTAATGAAACTCAACGCCATTCAATATGGCCGAAGAGTCATTAGCAAACAGGAAAACAATGGCTTTACAGAGAATAGGCTCAAACCTGGTGTGATAGTATCTGAATCTGACTTCTAGTTTATAGTCCAAGCACTCCACGATCAAGCAAGATTTGTTCTTAAACCTTTGCCATTATTTACTGAAAACCATCATTACCCACTGGATTGATTTTTAATTAAACTTTCAGAAAGTAATCATTGGACATCTACAACTGCTTAACTTTTTGAATGAACCAAATTCAAGTTGTCCGTCACTGCCATTTACCCCACCTAAACAAAACTTCTCCGACTTTTCAGCTACAGTATGGTGATAGTAGCAGTCGTTGTCAGTAACTGGTTTTGGTTTCCATATTGAAATAGCTTGTTGTCAACCCCGAGAACAAGGATGCACATCTAGAACTAATCAACTCCATGGGAGTCACCCCAATTTAGTCATATTTACAGATATCGAGCTAAAATTTGGTGTGGTTGGTAAAGGTCATTCCCATGATATACTCTGGACACGTAACTTGAGATTGAACAGCTATGACTCAGTCCCTTGCGGCGTGAGATCATGTTACCCTAAAACTCTGGCATGAAAGGCGGTGGGTGATATGCATCATTTCAAGAAAAGTTAGGACTAACCTGGATTACCTGAAACATGAACTCGAATAAGGTTTCTTTGTTCAATCAGGCTGCAGGCATCTTCTAGTTAACATTTTGCAGCAGACTTTTTGACTTAAATTTTATGTCAAAGTGAGCATTTTATAATAAAATACTCCATCTAAAACACTAAAAATTATACAAAGACAAAGAGCAAACAAGAAAGTTAATCAGTAGGAGCTTCATTATGTAAAGATTTATTAATTTATAATACAAGCTTTTATGTAGACCACATTGCATTTTTAGTTTTTACATTTATTCATACTGAGCTAAACTTCATAGCAGTGACACTGAATGACACAAACACAAACGAAAGAACACTCATTGGAAGGAATCGAAGGGTTTCCAACTACTTCTGAAGAAACCTCGGCCTGTCGACGCTCACAGTGCACCCCCCCCCCTTTTATTTTTTAAATCGAAAACAAAACACGACGCATGCCCTCACTAGTCTTCATTCAGTCCATCACACCCTGAGACACACACACACTCACTTAAACTCAACAAATACCTATACACAAGATAAAAATTTATATATTTAAAATTCCATATTTGTGATATTGATGAATTCCTCGATAAAAGGCAAACCAGTAGTAACGACAGCAACCAAATGATGAGGTGGTGACCCACCACCCAGCTTTCTTTTTTTTTTTTTATCCCTCTTAATCCAGATGGGGAAAATTAAAGACATTTTGAATCATTATTAGAATATAGAGGTTTGCAGGAAGGTAGTAGTGGTGGTGGGGGTCTTGAATCAACACTTCCTTCCCATTTTCCACCCTTTTCGATTCTTCAGTCTGCACGTTCCTCACCACGTCGCCTCCCTTTACAAGGAAACGTCAAATGTGCAGCCAAGTCCAAAAGTAAAACTCCCGATGGGCGACAAACAGTCCATGAAATCCTCAGACATCTTCTCCTGCCTCGATCGGTACGTTCCCGTTTCTTGTGGACCCAAAAAAAAGGTGTTTCTCCCGATTGGTCTCCCCCACCTCACCCTTTACTGGTCCACTGACAGAAACAAACAGAAGCTACTGATGCTAACACAAACAGTTCAGTAAGCGAGAGTCAGGTGGATGGCACGTTTTCTGCCACGTGGGGATTTTAGGTCTGTTCGTAACGGAAAGAAAACCGTGACGGAAGAGATTAAACACAACAAACACTTCATGGTTAAACTGGTTAAGTGCAGTGAGACCAGGGGAAATGTCTATGTGACTAGTAGGGATGGGTTAAAGCCCACAAATCCTTTATAGCACTTCAGTGTTCATGAGGAGTTCCCGGGTCTGTCGCTTAATACGCCAGCTTTTTTTAAAAACATCTCCAGCAGCGACTGTAGTAGGTAAAAGATCTTCAAATAAAAAGAAAAAAAGCAAGAAACATAATGCTGAGAGTAAAAAATTGGGGAATGGGAGTCAATAAATTGGCACAAAAAGCTTCAGAACGGACAGAAGTTTAACTGAAGCGCGTGATGGCCCCGAACAGACTTCCTGCGTTTTATTCCAAGCCCACTGACGGCGGGGCAGGAGAAAAAGGACTTTGTGCATGTTTAGATATGTGTGCGTTATGTTTCGTTTATGGGATGTTAGTAAAGCGGGGAGAGGGAGGGGGTCCGTCTCTGTTTTACAAGAGGAGGCAGCAGTTGCTCTCTGTGGTTTTTTCCCTGTTCCTCTGACCTACAACAGAAACAGAAAAATGAGCTCACAAAAACATGAAGCATCATAAACGAGACCATCTCTTAGTTGATGTGTATGACAAAAAAAAAGAAAGTCTTCAACCAAAGTGCTGCATTGTGTGATTAAATAAATAATTTCAGTTTATGACATAATTAAACAAATCAAAGTTCCTCACCATGAGAGTTTGGCTCTGGAAGAGTCTCTCTGGCAACGAGGTGCATGACGGTGGTTCGGCCCGGTGGCAGTTTCAGAGCTTTAAACATGAGATGCACACCATGACTGCTCAAAATATTTCATCGCATGATCATGTGGCGGCTACTCTGCTGAAGAGTATTTCTGACAACTATGAAAATAAAAATGCTTCAAAAGATTTCCTCTGCAGGTGACTGATAATATTGAGCTGATGTAAATTAATAACAGGTTTGATTTGCCGGTTGTTTGTTCTTCGTTTTTGCAGTATTTGTGCAGCAGGACTGAGAATATACAGCAGCCTATTTGCAGTAAAAACCTGTCACACACACCGTATCTTGATATTAGTTGTATTGAATAATTGCAGTACTTAAATAAATCAAGATCTACAAGCTGGTAATGCTGTTATTAAACTGTCAGATGTGACAACCCAGATTGTTGCTACAAACCTAATCACATTTCCAAAAAAAAATAAATATATATATATATATTTTTTTACCCCATGACAAAATTAGTCAGCAGAGGTCAGACAAGGGGCAGAGAGTTCAAAAGGTCAATGAGCTTGAAATAAAATCAGATGGTTGCATTATTTTGCCTCTTCGGCTGCTTTGATGGGACTTAACAGGTATTTCCTTAACAGGTTTGGGTAGATGGGTGTGACAGCATCGAAGCAGAAAGCTCTTTCCTCGTGTGGAGCTTTGTCTGACATGTATCCTCTAATAGCAGTGTTAGCATTGCTTCAGCTAGCAGCACAGTGAGGCAACACCATCATTAGAGAGCACCACGTCTGAAGCTTTGGAGCATACTGAGATCCAGTTATCTTCTCAGGTGTCCTCGTCAGCTGTAACAGAACTGCCGTGTGTTCATAGTTTGACGTTTGATCATGCTGCCCTTCAAGTTACACGGCCTTCCAGCAAAGACAAAACTGCCGGTGGCCTCGTCTGTTTTTCAGATAAGCTTGTTAAAAACATTTTCTTTAAATCTGAAGTTAGTCATATTCTGTTGCTTGGAACCGTCTCATCCCTGGGATATTTCTGCTCCACATTTCTTTTATAATAAATTGACTTTTTTTTTTTTTTTTTTTTTATCATTCAGTCCAACTATATATATAAAAAAGTACAAAATGCAACACTGCCTGGAAACATGTCTTAATCCAGGAAACGAGTTCCCCTCGATCAGGTGAGATGGTATGATGTCAGAGGAACATTAAGATGTCACTGTTAAAGCTCAACGTGACGACAAGCTGGAGAACTTGACTAATAACCTTTAATTGTTGTAAACTGAGGAATGTCCAAAAAGCACAGGCGCCATTTATTCATTTATGTTTAAATTATATACATTTTATTTGAGATCTAAATTAAACGAGTTTTGTTATTTAAAACATTTTATTTTTGAATGCCTGATCTATACCTTAGATTGTTACCAAAGTGCAAAGTTAAAGCCATCAAAGCTGTCAAAATACACCATTTTATACATTTTCAATTGGAAAAATTTGTACCATCTAGGATTAAAATAACCATTTCATACTCTATAATAATATATATAATATTCTCTAAATGGAAGAATATTTGCAGTTTTCTAACAGTTTTTACAAAAATTCTGAGTTACATTAACCCCCAGACAAAACATTTATTGATGAATAAGTTGTTAGAAGCATAAAAATCAAACATTTTTAAAAATCATTGGTTTTGACAGCTATTATGGCTTTAAGTATTAGTTATTTATAACTTAATTTTTTTAATGCCTGACAGACAGTTTTTGTCACCCATGTACAAGGTAAATAATGAAAATTGTGCTTCTTAATTTATTAAGAATTGTGCAACCCTCATAAGAGGGAACTTAGTTTTACTTTATTCATTTAAATAAATACTCAGAAACAGTTTTACCTCCTAGGGTCACATTGCCATGAAGGAAACGCCCTTGAAAGATGAGGCGCAGGATACTGGGACTGCTCACCTGCTCTTCCTCCCATCCTGCAGGAGACAGGAGGAACATGTGCATCACTTATTATGATCCGACTGCAGCTGGACGTACAATTAACTTTAAACAAACCAAATCAACCCTTTTAGTACGAGTCAAAATTGTGACAAATCCACACTCAACACATTTTACAGTAAAACATAATTATAAACCATCTATGGAGATGTTGCACGTCAATGATCACGCTTTAGATCAGTGCAGTTTCAAATTAATCCTGGACCCCGTTAGACTGACTGACGACCTCTTAAAGTCCAACATCACTATTTGACACTTTAATACTGCTACTGCTCTTCCAGATGCTTTTGACTTTTTTTAATATTATTATTTGAGCACAAAATGCCCTGTGAAAACAAAACAAAAAAATTATTTGCAACTACTACCGGTAATAATATTTTGCGTGAACAAAAAACTAAGCCTCCGTCAGGTGGATCACTTTAATGTGAGAAAAATCAGAGCATGTGAACCGAACCTGCTGGCCAGTTCTCAAACACGTGCTTGGCGATGTCTGTGGCCGAATCATTCGGGGAGAAAGTGAAGTCCTGCGTTTTGCCACTGACCAGGATAAGGCGGAGGTGCACCTAAAAAAAACAACAACAGTTAAACCGATCCATAAAAACATCCAACATCCAAGGTGTCCAGTAGAATCAGTCTTAAAGTCCTTCACTTCCTCCAACCTCTTCAGGCATGAGGTGACCTTCAGAAGGCTTAGAAAAGACGGGCATTCCAGTCTAATTTGATTTATTTACTCCGGATCTCCACCCTTTAGCTGGGCGATTTTATCCACTGGGAGCTCACGCTGAAGTGAGCCCCTGTTGCCAGAAACAACAGATAAGGGTGGGGTTAAGGGGGAGAACACTGCTGCTTCAGTTCAGGGTGCTGCTGCTGCTTCGCTCCGGGCTGTCAGTCTAATGCGATAACCCCGGGGCGTCCCAGACTGCTCTGAGCCTCGTTATTAATTTTACAAGGCAAGTGCACGTGTGCCGGCGCGCTCCTAACAGCAGGGCTTCCTCTTGGCAGCGAACCAGTTTGTAAATAAGTAAAGAGGAACCACCACGTCACCAAAACGCCTTCAGAAACCAATTTAAAACCATCAAATGATACAATATCCACCATGTTCTGTGGGTTTTTAAAAATACCCCGAATCAGAAACGATACCAGACCTACAAAGTTTATACTCGAGACAAGTCTATTGCACATCTTTTCAAAGTTTTTATAATATATTTTAAAAGAAACGGATTATTGAACATTCAGATTAGATTTGTTCAGCTACAAACGACAATTTATTGCCTGGCCAAACTTAACTGATTCAATTATGACCACATCAAAAGACCTAAAACAAATAATTACAAAGTCAAGTCCAACAGGAAAACACCATTTCCTATTTACATCGTCTGGATACTGACTGATCTTTAAATGATTGTTCGAACCTCAGTAGGTGTCAAATTATTATTATTTTGTTTAAGGTTTACGTGATTGATAACATATTTATAGTGGTATTCATGATGTACGAGATCTATGTATTAGTATTTCATTCTTTCTGACTGAGTTTATGCTTTTTGTTATTATTCCTTGACATTTGACACAAGGTGATCTGATTTAGTATTTCATCGTTTCTAATTATGGTTTGTGTTTTATACTTTTATTCCATGTGCTGTAAATATATCTTGTTGCTTTTTATTTGATGCTGTGATCTTTTTGTTAAGCACTTTTGTAACAGTTTCCGTTTTAAAATGTGCTATATAAATAAATCTGACTTGACTTTGCATCTGTTATATGAATATTTTACCTTGTACCATCATACAACAAGATGAAAATAAGTCTGTTTATAAAATCTCAATATTTACTTGATGTTGTTTAATTAGATTCATGTTTAATTAATGCTTATTTTCCCTCTTTAAATACATAAATGGACACATTGTATATCTGGTTGTTTTTTTCCTTACAGTAAAAGTACTTCACTGAAGCAACATTTCATTTTTAATCACCATTTGTCCACTTAACTCCACATTAAAATGTGCCAAAATGAAAAATCATAACTTAATGCTCGTCTAGCTGACGCCAGTTCACACCTTTCCAAATGTCACATCTGATCAGACATTTTGCTATTAAAAAAGACATTTGCCTTTTATTTTTTTTTACATGAACTTCCTTCAGTTCACAAATCAGAGAGAACAAAGAGATTTAACTAACTCCATATGACGTCAGAAAGTAGGTGGAGTAGGTTGGAGAGTACTGACCCTGCTTTCTGATCTGTTTACAAATACAATAACACCCCCCACCACCATCATGGTGGTTCTATGTCCTCGTCTCCTCCCTCTGAACCCAGTAACCTCAATGTGGGGGTTTAACATTCATGTCATCATTAACCGGTTTCGTGGCCGGCCCTTTCATCCCCAACAAAATTAAAAAAACAACAACAGATCTGCCTGGTTACCCATGGCAACATCCGTCATCGCAAATGCCGCAAATTTACCAATCCAAAGAAAGATTTTGAACACACAAGCGCAGTTATAAATGAAACAACAACAACAACAAAACAGTTTAAAGGTTTATCTGGGGCTTAAGGTTGTCAAGACTCCTGAAAATGTTAAAAGCCTCAAAAATAAAAGCTCAAGACAAATGATCTATTGAATCCAAAGTTATCCTGTTGTGGGTTTATACGCAACACTAGTGTTTCATCTAAAAATATTCTGGATTTTAAATAAAATGTGTTTAGAAGTGCCATATTATAACTAAAACAATCATAACGATTTTCAAAATTCCCAAGTAATTGCTTCAAACATTAAAGAAACTATGCATTTTACACAACAAATACCCTTTGTTTCAGTTGCAGCACATGCCATGTAAAGATTAAAGTTGGTCGTGTGTTTACATAATTAAAATACTTTTTTTTTTTCTCCATTTAAAAAAAAAAGCATTGAATGGATCTAAAAAATTTAATTTGTGCATTTGCGTGAATGTTGGGAGAGCTTCTGGTTTTAAAATTAATTTCAAAAGTAACTTAAAAAAAGTTTTTTGCTAAAATGTGCTTTTGGCATTCCAAAGACATTTAATATCTAATAAAAAGGTGATAATTTAGTGTTGTGCTTCAATAAACAAACCCCACAGCGCCAAACTTGCAACAAAAGTGAGGGACAAGAGGACGACTGTAATAAATCTACCAATGTTTTGACCAGTGACTCAAAATAGTAAGAAAACAGGCACATTTTTGTTTGTGATCAGCGGGCTGGCCTGCAAAAGCAGTATTCTAGGTTGTCCACCCACATTGACTCACTTTGGACCCACCTGCTGCCCCCACATTTTTAAATTTTATTTATTTTTTTTACTTTTAAATGAAAACAGGCAGGTTTGGACCAGGCAGAGTTATTTTTTGTTTATTTATTTAAGTTTTAAAAATGTATTGCTCGAAAATTAAAGCCAACTTCATTGTTTACAATAACATTCAGTATTTATACTGAGGTATATTTTGAATTTTGTATCTCCTGAAACCTATCGCTGCTCGGCCTCCAGGCTAAATAATCTGATTTAAGCAAAATCTGCTGGTTCCAGCTTCACAAATGTCTGTGCTCATTCTCTGGGTTAAAATGGGGGGGGGGAGGAGGGGCATAAACAGGGTACAATCAATTGGCATCTAAACCTTGAAAGGAAAGTAGGCCACCGTTTTAACAGATTAGACAGATGGTGTTCACAGGAACAGCCGTCACGATCCCAGCTAAGTGTTTGAGGAACTTCATTAATCCATAACCCCCTTACACGTCACAAAATGATAAATTAAACACTTGAAGTTATTCTAACTTGACCAAAATGATTATGTGATGTTTGAACCACCATGTCAATCACATACAATCATGTGCAAAAGTTTTAAACCACGTTTAACTTTCTGCATTCCTTAAGGATACAGTGTTTTTGTAGCGTAGAAAAAGCAGCTGAAGTCCAAAGACAAGCCTTTGAATAGTACTGTAAACATCCATGGCTTGATATAGAATAAAGTGCACATCGTGACATCAAAGAACATATTTTTCACCTTTGTGTTCAGGCATGTTATTGTTCAGATGACATGTCCACTCACCAAATCGTTTTCCCTCTGGGTGGTCATGGCTCAGTGACGAGGAGGAAAGCAGAGAGGATGAGACTGGTGTGCTTCAGCTGCTGGAGACGGGGCCAGAGCCCTGACACAAACAAAACCAACTCTGTCAGGCTGATTTCCACACACACAGCCCGAGGCTGGCACCGAAACTGCACACCGATCAAACAGCTATCCGCCGAGCTGGCATGTTTCTGACAATAAAGCCAACGTCACAACACACTAACGATATATCATTAACAACTGCCCTTAAAACGCAATAACAGCAAGCAAATAGTCTACACGGATTTTGCAGGAAGAATAAATCCTAATCAATGTCGAGCAGGGTTGCGCTAATGGTAGCGTTAGCAGCTACTTTAGCCTAGCTTGCGCTAACGCGTTCACCGGCTAAATAAAAGGTGACGCGGTGGTTTTGGAGTCATTAAACTCACCTGCATCTGATAACCGTGATGAAATTTTGCATTCAGTTGAGTTGACGAAGCAGCATTGGGTGTTTTTAAGGGGATATTATCCGACTGCAGATGGGTTTGATTATGGTTGACTCGAATGCTAATGGACGGAAAAACGCAGGATGTCAGCTGGTTGTAAACGCAAAGGCTTCTGGGAGTTGACGTTCAGCGCTATAAGCATAAGAATTTAAGTTTATATTTGGTTCCGAGGGTGAGGTTTACGGCTTATTCTGAGCCTTGTAACTTTAACAGTACTGAATATGGGAAGAAAGCGAAGTACCCGGAGAAAATACACAGAAATATTCAAACTCCTCCAGGCCCAACCTGGGGATTGGACCCATAGCGTTCTTGCTGTGAGGCAACAGTGCTTACCACTAAACTATCGTGCTGCCAATATGATACAAATACTGAGCTAAAATTTCACATGGTAGTAGCTAAAGGGCCATACTCCATGCATATTATGAGGGCTAACATTTCTTGCCAGATCTTCTTCTGTGCATTATGTCATTTACAAATTACAGATGATCTTTGTCTGGGCCTTTGAGGAATGCTAGACCTTTAATTACTGTTTATTTACAACTTCTGTTTTATACCTTGGAACAATTCTGTTAAAAATGGACTTTTGCCAATGATTGTTAATGTATTGTTTTTAAATCATTATAGATATTTTCTGTTTTGACCAGAACAGTTTTATAAGAGATATCTTAGACTTATTTTTTATACGTGAGGAACCATTGCTTAAAGATAATAAAATATGAGCTTAATGCATATTTATTTCAAAGTTGTTTTTTAGTTGGCTTGGATAGGGAAAATCAGCAGACAAACATCATCATGTCTCTCCAGGGACAGTCTTTAGGGTTAAGATCTGGATTCTTTAAGACCTTGAATTCTCTGAAAAAGGGTCTCACTCTTCTTCTCTATCCTGAATAGGTTTCTTTTAAAAATACATTTCCATGAGGCGGACAATTTTGTCTGTAGAAATATGCACTAACAGCGTATTTCTAATTTATTTAGACATTTAGCAGATTTCAGTTGTATAATATAATGATGTTGTGTAATTTTGATTTGAATTTTTTGCATTGTAATCTGTGTAAATATGTTTGTTTTTTTATTAGTAAAAGATAGCAAACTCAGTCTCTGAGCTCTGTTATTTTTGGAGCAAGGTGTAATAATTGGGGGATGGAGAAAGTTTGAAGCATAAGCTTTGCAAACTTTAAAAAATCTGAAGGCTTTCCATAACCATCAATTGAAACAATGATTGATTGATGGAGCAACATTTTGATCTGTGAGAACTGATTTAAAGTGTCACTGAATGTGTCTTTTAGATGTCAAATAGGCTTAACTAATTAAAAACTGCCTGAAATACAAAAGGATGAGTCACAGTTGAAAAACTCTTATTTAGTCATAGTTAGTGACATTTTGTATTTGCAGATCACTCAGCACAGCTTGTCATATGATATTTTTAAATCATGCGTCACATGAGAACTTCCAAGAAATTATGGAGCAACATAAATGCCTGATGTCATAAAAAAAAATAAAAAAAAATACAACTTTTCTTGTTTTGTGATAATAGGTAGTTTGTTCCACTGATGGTCTTTTGTGTATCTGAACAATTTGACTGATGAAGATCCCTTCATTAAATTACATGCATAGATGTAGACTATGTAGACCCAAATTAAAAGCAACCATTACATAGACAAATTAACGGAACAAAATAAAACTCAGACTGGAGATTTTGGATAGGACTGTTGATCCTTTCTTATCTGATGAAGAGTTAAAGCTGTGTTACAGCCCTGAGTCTTTTTTGTTTAACCATGAAACAAATGTTTTCTATTGGTGAGAGGTCTGGTCAGCAGGCAGACCAGTTCATCACCCAGACTCATGTAGTATACTTTGCAGTACTTAAAGATTCAAGGATTCAAGGATTTGTCTTGTACTGAATGCTCCTCGGCCGCCTGCTTGAGGGGAGGGGCTGGAACAGACTGTGTGCAGGATGAGTGGAGTCCTTCATGATGTGGACTCATTCCACATTCATTAAGTAGTTCATATTAAAGTATCTGACTAAAGTCAAGTTGTTGCAGTGGATGCAGTCTGTGGTTTAGTGTTGAGTTGCTGAAATATTCAAAGCCTTCCAAAAGATGTAATCTGGATGGGACTAATTGTTGTTCTAAAACCTGCATACTTGCTTACTACATACATACATAGCATTACTGCATTTATCATGCCTTTCCAGATGTGTAAGTTGACCATGTCATAGGTGCAAATGCACCCCCATACCATCAGAGAAGTAGGCTTTTAAACTCTGAGCGGATAACAGTTGAGGGTTCCCTCTTTTTTACTACAGATATTGTAGCATCCATGGTTTAAAAATAATAAATAAATAAACAACTTAAATTTTAATTTCTCTGGCCACAGAACAGTTTTGTACTTTGCCTCAGTCCATTTTAAATGAGTTTTGTTCCAGAGAAGACATCTGCATTGATGTTCACATAAGGCTTCTTCTTTGCACAATAGAGCTTTAAGCTGCATTTGCAGATGTAACTGTGATTTGTGTTTACATTCAATGATTCGTGGAAGTGTTCCACGCAATATTCAGAACAAAATCAGACCTGTTTTTAACACAGTGCCTCCTGAGGACAGGAAGATCACGGCCATCCTATTTGGACTTTTGCTCTTGTCCTTTGAGCCCAGAGATTTCTACAGACTCTTGAAACCCTTTGATGATATAAGATGAAGAGATATTCAAGGTCTTTCCATAAAGAAACACAGTTCTACAATTGATCCACTTTTTTTAAACAGTTTTTGCAGACTGGTGAACTTCTTCTCATCTTTACTCCTATAAATATTCAGCCTCTCCTAAATGCTCTTTTTATATCCTCTTGCTGACCTGCTGCCAGTCAACCTAATTTGTAGCAAAATGCTCCTCCAGCTGTTTCTTATTCGCATCACTTAATTTTGCATCCTTTTGTCGCCCATGTTCAAACTATATTGAGATGTGTTGGTACCACAGAACTCAAAACTATTGAATTAAAAAAAAATCTTATCTTCAACATTGGATGTGTTCACTGTTACATTATGAACAGAATATGCATTTGTGAGATTTTCATATTCCTTGCAATCTGTTTTTATTTACATTATACACCATCAGAATTGAGGATGTAAATTGCAATTAATTAAGCATCTCAGCTAGGAGAGTTTAAGTGGATTAAAACAGATCACAGTGGTTCAACACAAGCTAAGGCCTCTCGCGTTCAGCCAAGGATAAGATCCATGTGGTCAGTAGGGAAATCGTCCATGCTGGTATTGATTCATCTTTTGGAATGTCAAAGACGAAGCAAATCAGCACGCAAAAATAGTACAACTCTCGGTCCTGTTAGTTTGTTATCCCACTGCGTGTTGATGCAACAGGACGTGAGCTTATGTTAGTAACGGCAAAGGGCAACCTGTATCTGCACCTGGCTATCAGACACCTGGAGCCACTGGAGCGTTTTGAATAGGAAACCTCTTACCAGACTATTCTTGGCCATGACTCAGCTAATGAGGGGCGGAACAGGTGTAAAAACAAATATTAAAGATGGAGATTAAGAGCAGTGTTGGTACGGGGTGTGTTACGTTTCATCACAATGAACAGGAAGACACGTGTATTCTAAAGGGGAAAAAGGGATTATGACAAGAAAGGCCAAGCAGAGTAACTAACCTGCTGTCAGGTTAACAGAGGAGTTGAACTACAACACTCACTTCATAATTTACAGTTGAAGATCACGTTTCTGTCATACAAAGGCCCAGACAATAAATTACTGCTGAAAACCATACCCTTTAGAAGGAATGGTGTTTGGTGACAAAAATGAATCAAGTGACACTTAATGTTTGTACCAAAATACAGTCAGTCGTTTCTGTACACTTCGTACACAGTAACTGAGGTGTTTCCAAAATACGCATGTGAGTTAGTAACAATTTCGAGTCAAAACAAATCCAGATCAAGTGTCGTGACACCACGCAGCCACTTTAACCAGCGAAGGACTGACTGCATCAAACTTCTTTCTGTATTTGACACAATATTCTCAAATCTAATAGCTCACTTGTAGTTTTATTAAGGATTTTAAGTGCATAATTTAGTCCTTTTCAATTAAACATCTGATGAGTGGGAAAAAAACTGCTTCCAGCATATCTTACGAACAACTGGATGGATTTTAATAAAACTCTCAGTTAATTATCAGTTGTAGACATCAACAACAGATTACTTTTTACTGCGGAAAAGTCCCCAAATCAACCAGATATGAGTTACTTTTTCATTTTAAGCTGGTGTGATGGTGAGGCATGCACCCAGTCCCAGCCCCAGGTATAAGCCAATGGCTGCTTAGGGCCCCAGGGTCACTAGGGGGCCCCCTAAGTGGAAGCACAGGTTTTAGGAAGTTTGTGTGAAGCATTGAGGAAGAAGTAGCATAAACAGGTCAAATGTGTGGATAAAGGTTTTTTAATATTTTAAATTCAGCTTTTGCAAATTCTTGCATACATTTACATGGTTTTAATGACTAATTATTCAACTTTAAATTAATTTTTTTAAACCATTTTACGTGGTTTCAAGTAATTGTTTATTAAGTATTCCTTGATATTCAATTGTTTTTATTTCATTTTGTCTGTTTTTGCTCAATTTGTTATATTTATGCCTCTAAGTTATTTTATCTGTTGTTTGTTGTTGCTCTTGCACCACAAATGACGGTATTTTGAACATTACTGTTCAAGTTCTTTGAACCCAAAGATAAACCAGATGACACTATATATATATATATATATATAATATTTGGTTACTTTTAGTACCACACAGGATAATGTAAACAGGGCTGTCAGAGTTGCAATGAGTTTATGTTAGGTGGGTGAATGATCTGAAATCCACATTATTAGCAGAAATAGAGGGCCCCAAACCAAATTTCACTAGGGCCCCATGGAGGCTTGGGCCGGCACTGCATTCTTTTTGGCATTAGCACTTTTTTCATTAATTGTTGCATTCCTTCAGTCCTGAATTGTGTCTTTTGAGAGCTGAACTGAATTTAGTAAAATAAGTATTCCTTGACAGACTGCACATCGCTCACAGCTTTGCATGCCCAAGTTTTACAGAAAGATCTTGTGATCTGTTAGTGCTTGAAATTTAGGGGTGACTCTCAGCTTCTACCACAACAAACTTAAGTGCAATATCTGTAAAACTGCTGTTTCATAGCTATTTGTGTGGTTGCTAAGGTCCACTAGCTGTGGTATCCATCTTCAAGTGAGTTGTCTTCTAAAGTTAATCAGATGTAGCTTCCAATGATTACTTTCTGTGAGTGTCATAAAAATGTGTTCAGTGCTTCACCAAATATTTTGTTAAAGACAGACACGCACAGACACAGATGATTTTTATATTATCACTGCTTTTTGTGGAGCGAGTGATAGTAATCTAATAGGAAGGATTCAAGGATTCAAGGTTCTTTATTGTCATTTGCATGTGGTACATGAGGTGGAACGGAATTGTGTACTCAAGGTCCCAGTTATATCCAACAAAAGTATAAAAAGTAAAAGAAAAACAGTAATAAGATCTAAGATAATCAGGAAGAATATCAAGAAGAAAAGTTGTACATAATCTGACCAATAAGTATAGGAGTAACAAAACAGGGGTAGTTGAAATGAGTTCTGGTTTCTCTGACTCTAGTAAAAATATATTAGTTTCAAACTACAAATAGTTAAGCGTTGTCACATCATCCATGTTAAAAACAGTAAAACTGCACAAAGCCAGAATAAAATTAAGAGTTTAAAATTTCCTTGTCATTCATTGACTCAAATTAACATTATAAATTATTATTATTATATTATGAACAATTCTATTAATAATAATCTATTCTAATTTCTATCCATACATTATTATTATTATTGTTGTTATTACTATATTACATGCATGTTATTTTGTTCAGGCAAATGTGGAACTTCTTTTAGCTGCTTAAATGTGATTTACAATAATGCAGAAATAGTGAGCTATAAATAAAAAAGGAAGATAATTTGTGGTTCCTCCGGTCAGGCATCAGCCTTAACCCTTTAATTACCGGGGATTGTAATTCACCTCAAATGAACTTTGTGTCCTCAGAACCTAAACACTTACATAATGCAGGTACACGCTGCCTCCTTGAGCTTCTGTTTACGCCTCTATGCTCTGTCACATGAGTAACTCAGTTTCCCAGAAACCCACTGTCGCGCAGGCGCAGACCGCGTTTGCTAACATTGGTAAACAGACGTCAGAAGGGAGTCTTCGCCTCGAGTCAAAACAAAACAAAGCAAAACAAGTCGAAAAGAGAGCAAAGAAGCGAATGTTTGGACCGCCGCGACCAAGGAAAGTTTCTCAAAAGTCGCCGACGACAAGAAGCGGGCGCTCGGAGGACGTAATCCGACGCCTTTGACGGACTTTTTCGCGGATTGTAAACTCTTGAGTAGCAGGGAGCTTAAGCAGCGGCTAACGTTACGGTGCCTGTTTTCAAAGTGCGGCGAAGAGTCGCGAGCCGACGGAGCTGCGCGCGGACCGAGCTTCAGCTGGACTCACGAGCTGCGAGGTGTGTTTACCCGCTCCACGGGACAAAGATCGTTACATTAAATTAAACTAGCCGGGGTCTGTGGGAGTTTTGTGACGGGTTCTTCGAACACCGTGTGCCGCGGCCGGAGAGGAGAAACATGGCAGATGGTGACACGCGCCTGGCCGCAATGTGGCGGATCGTGCAGACCTGAGCGGACTTTTTCAGACTACATTTAACCTCGTCGCAGTAAACACTAAGAAAACCTCACTTTTCTCGTATTTTTTTAATTTCTTTTTAACATTGGTTTGCATATTTATTTACTAGACTGGCCACGAGACTGACTGAGGACAGCCTCCAGAACTATTTGTACTTTTTTTTTAGAGGGGGGAGCAGCAGCAAGTAGCTCCTCGGTCAGCCACAACCAGGACATTTTTATTCTCTTATTTCACCTTTTAGTCATAGTTTGTTCTTTGTTGTGCATTTTTTTTAAATCGTTTTCTTTTCAAACAAGGTTTACTTTTTGTGTTTGAAGCTCGTTGTTTACAAGTGCAGGGGAGGTTTGCCAGATCTAATCCCTGATTGAGTCTTTGCAGTTTTACAGGAGAAATAATTCAGTTTTACTTCACTCCCTAAAGATTTAGTTTGCCTTTAACAAAACAAAAAAAAAGTTTTCCAAAGTTGCTTGAGTAGATTTCGTTTGGAATGGCGGTGTTTGCTTTTAGTACACGTTTAGGATTGTTTTCATTCATTTCCAGGTGAGCCTGAACATCTGTAGAGCCAGATGTTTTGGTCACTTTTGTTTGTGTTTCGTTAAAACAAAGGGGCTCCAGTCGCAGCCCTCCTTCCCCCGATTTAAATCTGAAGGTTTATGATAGTTACTATTAAGGAGATTATTTGGGTTCCCTAATCTCCAATCTGAGGATTAACCGAGGCCATTGGTGTGTCCAGATTATTGCGTCTAGGCCCCTCAGTTGACACCCCCGCCCCCCAGTTTTTTTTTTTTTTTTTGGCTTGTTTGTTTTTACGTTAGAAAGTTTTTCCAACACGTCATAGCTTGTTTCATTTTATTATTTTGGAGGTAGATGTTCTAAAGTGACCCTCACTTGGTGAAATAAAGTTCAGAGAGCCGCCGTGATGGAGGACTCCTCCATGCCCCCCATCGACCCGGATTTCGAGCCGCAGAGCAGACCTCGCTCCTGCACGTGGCCGCTCCCGAGGCCCGACATCTCGGTTGTCAAACCGGAGGGGTCGGACGGAGTCGAGTCCGCCGCGGGGACCCCGCCCGCCGACGAGGACAAGCCGGAGCCGCAGCAAGTTACCTCGGAGCCAGAGAGAGCCGAGGGCGGGGCCTCGGGCGGAGTGGGCGGAGCCACGCCCCGGAAAGGCTCGTCACGGCGCAACGCGTGGGGGAACCAGAGCTACGCAGACCTGATTAGCCAGGCCATCGAGAACTCACCGGAGAAGAGGCTGACTCTGGCTCAGATCTACGACTGGATGGTGAAAACTGTGCCTTACTTCAGAGACAAAGGAGACAGCAACAGCTCAGCCGGCTGGAAGGTGAGCAGATTAATTTTTTTTTTACAAAGTAAACACTTTACTGTCTGCTTTTGTCTCAGTTTTGATTCCAGAGAAAAATACTTTGGTAAGCTGAAGCTGCTAATGAGTTTGATGTTTCAGCTGCTTTTCGTCTGTTTAAATTATACGACTTTTTATTTTAAATATAGCATGAGTTGAATGACTTCACTGTGGAAGCTGAAACAGTTAAAGCTTCAAGAAGTAGAACTCCAGATGAATGCCAAGAGGGGCAAGACTCAGAAGCTAAAAGAAGCAGAACACTAGTTGGTAAATAAAAAAGCAGAACACTAGTTAGAAGCTAAAAGAAGCAGAACACTACTTAAATATAAAATAAGCAGAACACTAGATAAACCTAAAAGAAGCAGAATGCTAGTTATAAGCTAAAAGAAGCAGAATGCTCGTTATAAGCTAAACGAAGTAGAACTCTAGTTATAAGGAAAAAAGCAGAGTGCTAGTTATAAGCTAAAAGAAGCAGAATGCTCATTATAAGCTAAAAGAAATAGAACGCTAGTTAGAAGCTAAAAGAAGCGGACACTACTTAAATATAAAAGAGGCAGAACATTAGATAAACCTAAAAGAAGCAGAATGCTAGTTATAAGCTAAAAGAAGCAGAAAACTCGATAAATCTAAAAGAAGCAGAACGCTAGTTAAGCCTCCAGTATACTCGCGCGTACGTGGATCCGCAGAGGTCCACGTATACTGGATTAGAGTCGAAGTGGACGCCTGCAGGGCATGTCTGTGCAAAGCTCAGTTTTTACGTACGCATACTCGGTTTCACAAAAAAAACTGCCCGGCGACGGACTGTTTTGTATGCGACACCAATGTATAAAATTTCCCATCTTCATCACTGATCTGGCCTTTTTTTTTTTTTTGCCAAGACGCAAGCGATCTCTTCCTCCTCCGTTGATGCAATGACTGAAATGGTGAGAATTGAAGGAATTTGTCACGAGTGGATTAAAATCAGGTCCAGCGTGGCTGCGGGAGGGTCTGGAGATTTCCTGGTGGGCTGGTCTGATGTGTGGGCTGCAGGACCAGCGCTCCCTGTTTTTTTTTTTTTTTTTTTTGTAATTTGTAGAACTTTTTATTAACAACGTATAAACACAGAACACTGCTGGAGCTGCCAGCTCTCTTATTTTCTTTTTGACCTGTCAATCAATCCAGTAGGCGTGTCAGCAAAAGACCAATCGGTGAACTCAGTTTGTCCCGAAGGTAAACGCCCCTTGTCTGTGGAGCTGACTGCAGCCGCTCAGGGTGGACGCTCGAGTATGAAGTCTGAACCCTCTGCGGACAGTGTGCACAGTTTCCACGCAGCTGACAGGACACGCGAGTATACTGGAGCCTTTAGAAGCTAAAAGAAGCAGAACTCTACATGGAAGATAAAAGGGCAGAACACTAACTAAAAACTAAATAGTGTAATTCTAGCTAAATGGCATGAATGGGTAGATAAAAGAAGCAAAAGGCTAGATATAAGTAGCAAATTTAAAGCTAAAAATATCAGAAATCTAGTTTAAAGCTAAATGTACCTTAAAAAAATCTAAAAGTAGAAAAAGGCTAACTAAAAGGAGCAAAACAGAAGCTAGAATCTAATATTATTAAATGCCAGCTAAAAGTGGCAAAATGTTAGCTAAATGCTTTAACACATTCGTTTGGTAAATGTTCAGTTGTTGCATTCTCTTCGTTGACACCAAACAAAGCAAGAAAAAAAAACTTCATTCAGTTATTAAAACATTTCTAAATCGAAGGCTGGAAATTGAGATAGCTTTATGACATTTTGACTTTTCTAATGTTTTTGCCCTTGTGATTGAGAGATAGATGGATAGGCGTACTTCATTAATCGCAGCTAAAATCCAAACATCCAAATACAACAGACTGAAAAAGATGCAGTTAAAACTGTGCAAATATTATTAAAACTGAGCTGAAGCTAGCCTTCAAACTGCAAAATATTTCAACTATGCAGCGAAGCTATCATCTATTGCAATCAGAGGGAATAGATTTTGTTGTAGAGTGTAATAGCTTGTTGCAAAAAAAATTCTTGTTTAATCCTCTGAGAAAATCTTTGTGAAACAACGTCCCGCAGCTGTAATTTTTCACGTATTTCTTTACTTTTTTAGAATTCAATTCGCCACAATTTATCACTCCACAATAAGTTCTTGAGGGTACACAATGAGTCGACGGGAAAAAGCTCCTGGTGGATGCTCAACCCTGAAGGAGGGAAGACGGGTAAAGCACCTCGCCGCCGGGCCGTCTCCATGGACAACAGCAGCAAACTGCTGAAGAGCCGCATGAGAGCCAAGCAGACCAAGAAGCAGGCGGCAGTGGCCGGCACGGGAGGGGTACTGGCAGGCGACGGCAGCGCAGGTTCAGCGGGCGCAGACAGCCCTAACTCGTCCCAGCAGTTTTCTAAATGGGGGGTCAACAGCAGCAGCCCCTCGTCCCGTGGCAGTCTGGACGATGCAGACATGTGGACCACCTTCCGCCCACGCACAAGCTCTAATGCCAGCACCCTGAGCGGCCGGCTGTCCCCCATTGCTCCAGTCCAGGAGGACGATGATGATGATGATGATAACCTGCCAGAGGACGGGCTGCTGGGGAGGTACTCCAGCAGCAGCCTGACCCCCACCCTCACAGAGACCGTTATGGAGGAACTGGATCTGATAGACAACCTCAACCTGATGACTGGGCAGCAGGGAGGGGCCAGTCCCAGCACAGCCCCGCCTGCACCTCCCACTCCACTGCCCTCGGCCTCCACCCTGCTGCCGCGAGGCCCCAGCTTCCCCTCCTTCCATCAGCTGCAGTCCACCAGTCTCCCGCCGGCCCCCGCCAACACCGGGGCCCAGGCCTCTGTCTCTATGTGTGGACCAAGCAGCAAAGAGCCGACGACGTTCAGCAACTCCATCTTCAACCCGATGCCCAGTTCTGGCTCCCGTGGAAGCAGCCACTACAGCACCCACGTTCCTTCCAACCTGGAGGCGCTTCTCACCTCCGACTCCCCTCCTCCCAGCGAAGTTCTGATGTCCCAGATGAACTCCCTCGTGAGCAGTTCTGCAGGGATTGGACAGATGGGTTTGGGGTCATCTGTGGTGGGCGTGAGGCCCAACTCCAACCAGCTGCAGATGAGTAAAGGGCTGGAGGCGAACCCGGTGGCACCGATGACGCTGCAGGCTCAGATGCAGCCGCACCTTCACCACCAGCCGCAGCAGCATCACTCTCAAATGAGCATCGGGATGATCCTGTCCGGTATGTCTCAGGACCCGTCGCAGCTCTCCGCTCTCAAAGCCCACCATCCAGTGGTGTCGGCCATGAGCTCTCATCACGGAGGGCCCGTCTCCTCAGCCAATCAGAGCATGACCCTCCAGGGGATGAATCAGTTCGTAACGCCATCCAGCTTCCCTGCCGGTCCGGACCGTCTGCCCACAGACTTGGACGTAGACATGTTCACGGAAAACCTGGACTGTGACGTGGACTACATTATTAACAGTGACCTCATGGATGGAGACGGCATGGATTTCAACTTTGACCCTATTCTGCCTGGAAGCCAAGGCTACCCAGGCCCCACCACTACACAGGGGTCCGCTCACAACTGGGTGCCCAGCTAATTCTTCAGCTCAGCCCACAAGATTAACCAGGTATGCTAAACTTGTCCTGCTCATTACCTCATTTTATGGGACATCTTAAGGGCAATAAAACATCATTAGTCATTGATAATCATAACTGACAGAGCTAACAATGTATTTAATCATATTTAAAACAATATGTGACACTGTGGATTGATGAATATGTTTTAGAGCTTGTTTCTGTTTTGTATACAGTATTTTTCAGACTATAAGGCGCACATAAAATCCTTTAATTTTCCCAAAAATCGACAGTGAACCTTTTAATCAGACACACCTTTATGTATTAATTCTGGTTGTGCTTACTGACCGAACTTATGCGTTTATTGTGAACGAGCTGAATAAAGTTTGACTCATCTCTTTTGTTTCAGTTAATGCCCCGTATAATCCGGTGCTCCTTATGTATGAAAACAGACCCGTCCATTGATACTGCGCCTTATAGCCCGACAAATACGGTAATTTTAACATATGCATTTAGGCTATTTTTGGCATCATGTTATCGTAAAAATGTGAATTGTTGCATTGTCACCAGATAGTTGTTACGTCTCTGCACACGTCTGGATTTATGAGCCGAACAGCAACAATACAAACAGTCTTCTTTTGCAGGAACCGAGCTCCACTCAACGAAAACCTCACAAAACGACAGAACAACCAGTGCATCCTTCTTCCCAGCGGGCTGAAGATATATTTTTTTATAAATACTTTTTTTTTTCTTTGACTTTAAATGGCAAAATGGATGCCTGACCCACGTCATGTGCCAAGACATGCGGAGGACAACGGGGCGATTCAGGCTACTATGCACAGTTTTCTCCATTTTTTTAATACTTGGCAAAATATTCGGCTGCTAGCCATTTTTTTCTTAGGAACTGAACTGAGTATTTTTTTAAAATAAGATGCGTGATGTAATATTTTTGGAGTGGAAAGACAAATCATCTCCCTGCTGTTGGGAGTTTGCATTTCAGTCAAGTTACACCAGAGTAGCTTCAGATATGGTACCGTGGATTTATCTGGCTCTGGTGTTGGAAAAAAAAAGTTTCTATTTGAGAAATGGCCAGTTTTTGCGCTGAAACTCTTAAGATGACTTTTCCAGACCAAACGCTGTTTGATGGACTGAATGTGGTGCAAACGACCCGCATGCACCGCCTCGAAAACAAGCGGCTGATAAAAAAAATAAAAAAAAACGGACGGCTGACGTTATGAAATGTTTGACTCAACATTGGCTTCACATATCGCCCAAACAACCGTTTAAAAATTAGAAACCAAGATTAATTAGGTATTTTTCATGTCGATCCATTGCGTTCGGGGAGATGCCTCTTTGAGGGTGTCTTTTTTTATTTTTTAATTTCCTGATGTGCAGTGAAACTAACAGAATGAAGAAATGTGATTTGTGACTTTATACGCGGGGGCATTAACGAGTAAATCTAGTCGCAGCGACGAGCGATTAATTGGACAAGTTTGAGAATGTTCTCAAAAGGAGAATGCTTCCACTGTTAAATTGTCTACTTCTTTTTCCTTCTTTCTTGTTTTTGATTGGCGTCTGCGCATTTTCAAAGCACTTAGGTTTCCTGCAAAGGAACCCCAAACTAAAAGAACACATCCACGTTATGTATCATTTCAGTACAAACAAAGAGTTATAATGTTGTAAAAGAGACAAGTTAATGTAGACGTTGCACATGTACTTGACGGCACGCTACGCAGAGAGGTAAATGGGAATCTTGAAGGAAATTTGAGAAACAAAATCACTTCTTGAAGGCTTTCGCTATTTAAGATTTTTCTATTGTTTTTTATCGGGGGGGTGGGGGGGAGGGGGTTGGGAGCTGAATGTCTGGATAAGAGTATCCTCTCATACTTTAATATTTAAATACTAACGCTAAAGCAATTAATTCACAGCGTGAGAAGTACAGAAAAAAAAAAGAATATATTTGATTATAGTTTTAATATACACTTTTTAGATTGAGATGATGAATCGGATATTAATACAAATAAATATATTACTAATGAAAGTGTCAGGTTTTTTTTACATCAGAGGAAGCATTCTCAGATCATTTTTAACGGTAATTTTCTATATTTTTTTGTAAAGAATGAGATGCATGTAGATTGTTTTTTTTTAACGTAACCAAAGGAACACTAATATTTGCAGCTGCATGGCATTTAGGGAGCGCTTGGGCCTGACAGTATCCTCGGTGTACATAAGCTTTGCGAAAAATACCTGCAATGTGATTTTTGTTTTTATTTTTGTTTTGGACGATGAATACTTGATTAACGTTGGCTAAGATTCCCGCGCTGCCTGCCTCGTGCTCTTTTTGTTGATTTCAAGTGGAAATCTTTATGAAAAACGTTCTCATCTCAAAATTCACGCAGCTGTTACCCCTCAGACGAAGACGAAGCAGCAGGATAATAGAGTTTTTAAAAAAAAAGGCCTGTTTTGCACATTTTCTGCGTCGCGGCAGACTGGAAACCAACACGTCTTTGAACGATTTCCCTGAAGACGACTCCGTCTAAAAAAAGAGCTGAACTCGCGTTTTAATTCCTTTAATTTCAGATGTGTTCATAGCTATCCAGCCGTGTATATCCCTTGTTGTCGTTTTTTTTACAGCCAATATTGAAAACACTAGAGCACAATGTTACTTTGTAGCAGGATTTCATCGTATCATGTCCCCCTCTCTGATATTTTGCGTTTTATTTTTAATTTTGTGTTCGGTCCCAGCAGTTTTAAACCCATCCTTTTTCACCGTAGCCGGGTGTTTCGTGTAAAGTACTCCCCTCATTTTCCCCACGGATGTTTTGCAATTTAAATTTTTACTTTTGAAATGGTGCTAGTTGAGTTCATTTGTGATGTATTGGCCGTGATGCAGTGGGTGCATATCAGGGTTTTTGAACTTTTCTCTCCACCCTTTTTTTTTTTTTTGTACACGTAGAGTAGCTCGGCCCGTTTAACCTGGAAACAACTCATTTTAAGTATGCATTGTTACTTTTCTTTGCTAGTTTCAGTCATAACCTACTAATTTTAGACACAACCGGGCTGATTTTTGGTCACCGACGGCCCGTTATAGACGACAGCAGCTGCTTTTTTCCTCCTGTTTATGGTTGCTGCCTCCGAGCAGTCAAGTGTGGTGTTATTACTTTGCTTATATCTTTCCTTATATAACAAATATCCACATATCTTTTTCCCTTCAGTTATTCTAAAGTAGCAGTTAGTCCCCCTGTATGTTCTGAGGTTAAAAAATTGCCCCCGTTTGTTACAACACGTTAGCATTTGGCAAAGTAAATTTTCTTTCGTCACTAAAGGGCGAGTTGGATCGACAAGTGGATAAGTCAGGAAAGCCTCTGATTTGTAATCATCTTGATAGTTGTTCTCATTCTTTACCCGCCCCCCGTTTCAGTCTTTTTTTTTTTTCACATTGTAAAAGAGATGACAAGCAGTAGAAGAGCAGAAATAAATCCAATAAACTGTTTAACCCACTCTGTTCCGCTCATTATTGTCTCGAGGTCATCACTGGAGGAGGCTGTCGCGCTGCGATCTGAGCAGACCAAAAAATGTTTCCACTACAGGCGGATGTAGATTTTTATTTCAAATTGTCTTCCTGATCCAGTCGTTCTGTTTTGGCATGTGTGAAACTCTTAAATTATATTATAATCTAAGCTAAAAAAAAAGCTTAATACTTGATTTATAAACTGTAAGAGGTGTAAAGATAACCATGAACAAAGTGGATCCTCGTAGTCACCGTGGTAACCACACACCTGTGTCTGTTACTCCCTGACTGCCAAGTTAATGAGAAATAGACGGGAAGTCTTAAGTGACGGTCATTAAGGTTAATTTTTATACTTGTTCACAGAGTTTTATGTAGGAGATGCAAGTTAAAAGTTAAAAAGACAGAATATCTTGAGCCAATAGAACTGAATTTGTGGAAACTGGGTGTGCGTTTTATTTTTATTTTATTTTTTGATTGGGGGGGAGGTGACAAAACCAGAAGTCCTGCAGCAGTGAGACACAAGGGTTTATGTTTTCAATGAAAATATGTATATGCATCAAAAGTAGTTGGGGGATTAGAACTAAATTTTTAGACATTTCGAAGGTTAGTATGACGTCGGGTGGACCTTCTACGGAAAATGGCCATTAATTATTAAAACCTAAACTGTGTGAAAACCAGAAGATATAAGTGCTGTCAAGTTCAACTTAATGTGACCCATTTACACTTTAAACGACATGTCTGAGCTTCAGAGCTCCTCAGAGGGCTGGAATTTCATGTTTCACCAAATTCCACTGATCGCCATTGATTTTATTTTCTTACCTTGTGTGTCGCAGGACGTACCGCTACCAAAAGCTGCACTTTAATCTCAATCAAGCCGTACGTTTGGATGTATGATTAGCATGATTTATTTCAAAGCCCCTCTAATTATTTAATATTAAGATAATTTAAAAAAAGGTTACTAGAGAGGGAGAGATGGTCTGACCTGTCATACCATTAAGTATAAATAAATTACACTAATATACCGTATTTTTCACTGTATGAGTCGCACCTTTTTGCATAAATTTGCAAGTTCTGCGACTTATACACCGAATAAACTAATATACACACCCCCCTCCAATTTATAACAATTTTTGTCTGAAGTCTGATTTAATTCTGACATGGAAAATATTGAACACTACCATTTTCAGCCGCTAGAGGGCCCTCAAGGTGTATGGTAAGCCAAGCGTCTCATTAATAGGCAAAAGTGGCTATTAATGAGACACTTGGCTTGCCATACAGAGCCACCTTCGTCTTGCTCTGGAACTCGTGGTGCAAATGTCAAATCTGCTGCATTTCGCCGAACCATCCAGGAGAAATGCAGCAGATTTGATCATCAAAGTGCATTTATTAAAGAAAAGTTCAACTGAGACACACCTTTGCTATAATTTAGAGCAAACAATTGTTTTTAAGTGTTGGTCTTGTTAAATTCTTGTTAAAGTCCTCCCATGCATGCTCCTGCGGCTGCCATTTGGCAGGCAATCAATTTTTGGCACACCGGCCCACGTTTCCAGGTGGTCAGTGGTGACGCATAGTAGATGAGTAAATGGTGTGGTCACACACACACAAACACGTTCCATCAAAAAGCAAATGATCATACCGTTTAATCAAATTCATGAGTAAATTTTCATAAATGTGATTATTAAAATAAAAAAGGCAAAAACTGTGAATGTTTGGCAAAACTCTAAAACCTTATAAATCACTGATGAAAAGAAAACAATGGCCAGGTTATTTTGAAGAGTATTTTTATAGAAAATTTTTCACATTTTCAATAAGGATTTGCACTTCTCTTTTTTTTGCATTTTATTTTTAAATATAATAGTCCTTTTACTGAAATTACCTAAAGTTGAACGTTTTAAGCATCCTTCTATGTCAAAGGCTCTTTGCAGACTTGCTGGGGCTTGATTAGGCGTCTGAAATATGGACTTAAAGCTGCAGCATTTACCAAAAATGATGCCAGCTAACACCAGAACAAAAATAATTTGTTCCCAATTATCTAAAGATAGTCACACAGTTTACAGTTAGGAACACCCCTCCACACGAGTCTGAAGGCACCTGTGTTATCAGCGCTTTAGCTCTTGTCAAATACGCACTCGTTTCATCCTGCAGCCTCTAAACCCATCTCCACGATCTGCCAAACCTTGAAATCAAGCTAGACTACAGCGCAACAAGCAGGTCCTACAGTCACACCTAGAAAAACAAGAGTAATCAAAATTTTACAACAAAAAAAAAAAAAGTTTTAACAAGACGTCGCTCTGCTTTCAGAATTCAATCAGCTCTGATGCAACAAACAGTAAAGCTTAAACACTAAACTATGTGAACTCAGGAGCAGTGCCGTTCTACTTCTGAACCCTTTTTTTTTCCTCCACCTTTTGTGCAATTCTCTTGAAGTTATCTCTATGAAATGTTGGCCATTATGATTTCCTGAAACGTATCAGTAAAAGACCAAACACTCCGCTGCAATGAACAACTCTTGACAATCTCAGATTAGATACAAATTTGAAGCTTTGCGCAAACTTTATCTTTCTGACAAAAAAAAGGTTACCAAAAATTTTTTGAAATACCGGCATCTTAAATCGAGTACCTTCACTCAAAAATCTGTGGCGTAAAACGAAGTGAAAGTTTTGAGAACCGTAAAAAAGAAAAAGCTAGACACAGAGAAAAAACGTCACACTAACAATCTTTTGAGCTACATTGCATTATAAATATATAAAGTTATTTAAAAAGTGCTTATTTAAAAGAAACTATAGTGATGTGATAACTTCCAGCAGTGTCACGGCTGTTTGTTCTCGACCAGCATTAATACGAAACATCGGGGAGGGCCAACTACAGTCCACTAAATGTCCTTCCAAAAATGAAATAAAAAAACATTCTGAACCAGGGCTCCCATTAACATTCATTCAACTTGTACAAAAAGATCTTTTTAGGATAGCATAAATACAAAAGATTTGTCTCGACAACAAAAAGGAGTGTTGGCCACTGAAAACTCAGTTTCTCGCAGACTGAACTGGAACACACGACGTAGGTAAAAATTTTAATAGGTACTAATAATTGCACATAACCTTTGAGAGCCAGGGTGTTTTCTGAGGACTTGACCAGAAGACAACACGAGGGTGAGCAGAGGGTATGGCACACTGCGGTATAAATACAATAAATCTGAGAGGAATAATCATGAGGCACAGCCACGAACGACCGGGTTCTGTGTCCTTAAAAAAGTGCCGATCTTGTCCCAGTCATTAGATGTCTCCGTCCTCGTGCCTCCGAGTCTCTCCGTACCGACAAACAGTTTCAGCTTCACTCTCCTGAGCGCTCAGGCTATCATGTACTGAGTGATGGCTCTCAGCGCGTACAGCAGCTCCGCCTGCAGCCGGGCCTCCACGATGAGTAAATTTACGTGTATCTGAGGAGAGGAAAGCAAACGACTTGTCTGATTTATCCGTGACAAAACACTTGAGATGTTCTGAGACAGTAAACTTCCAATAAAATGGTGTCTAAAGAAAACAACACGCTGCATGTTTCACTTCTGGAAGTGAAATTACACTTAAAACACAATTGAGTGAAGATGATCACAAATGCTAAATGTGTAAATAATCAGTCCTAATGCATTTTTCTGTCTCATTAAAAAAAGCAGCAAAGTTCTTTAAAAACTATTGTGCTGCACATTAACCCAAACATTTCATTCTTGGACTGATCCTCCGTTGCTTGAGTCCGGAGCGCCACTAGAGGGCCACCTCACACTTTCCTCATCTTAAGAAAACGTAGTTCTTGTTCTGACTTGTTCCGTGTTTCACTTTGGGAAACACTCCGGCATGACCAACTACGAAAGCCCCAATGACATGAGATATGAATTTCTGAACAGGGCCGGCCGGTCTTTGATTTTGGTGGCCCCATGGTGGCCAGCTAGCCAAGCCCTGGGTCCTTTCTGTCCCAAGCCAAGAGAGAAATTTATCACCCCCACCCGACAGTATTCTGGGCCTGGCACGTGAAAGGTGGAATTCAGATCTGGCTGGTATCCCCCCCCCACCCCCCCAGAGGTCATTAACACTATTCAGAGTGTGAGGGCTTCCTCTACTCATTATCTTTTAGTGGTAAATGGGGAGTTTTTGAAAAATGGTGTGGGGAGAGGCACATCATTCCCTTCCAGTGCTCTCTCGTGGATGTGCTCGATTTTCTACAGAGCCTACTGGAAAAAGGGAAGGCTTTTTCCACTGTCAAAGTCTATCTGGCAGCAATTTTGGCTCGTCACATTGGATTTGGCGACAAATCTGCTGGACAGCACCCTCTAGTGCACATGTGTCAACCTCAAGGCCTGGGGGCCAAATGTGGCCCTCGCTGACAACTTATCTGGCCCTCAAAATGATATGTGAAACGTAAAATACTTCTATCTCTTGATTTTTTTCAGTAATCTTTGATTATGATGAAAGCACAACAGAGAACATCAAATGAGACCAATCAAACTCTTGTTGAGGAACCTGTGACCCAGAAAAGATGTTGGGGATCTAACTTGAGTTAATGTAGTTTTTGAAATTGGCCCTTAGTTTGAAAAAAAGTTGTAATTTTGGCCCCATTTTGTAAGTGACTTTGACACCCCTGCTCTAGTGTGTCACTTCATGAAGGGGACATGATGTAAGCTGCCAGTCTCTAGGCCTCTGGGTACCATGGTGGGATCTCTCACTGGTGCTGGAGGCCCTCATCCTTTGGGTTCTCCAAGGTGTGTCTGAGGCCCAATCCAACTTTTGTGCTGGAGGTGATGGATTCTGTGTACAGATGTTGTTCAGTAGAGCGGTTAGCTTTCAGCACACCTCCATTCTCTGAAATGGAGCAAAGCCTCAACTCCTTGTGTCCTGTGCAGACACTGAAAGTGTATGTTGACAACACAGCTGGCTTCAGGAAGTCAGACCAGCTCTTCTCTTATTGGTCCTCGACTCATAAAAAGGGAAACCAGTGTCATGCCAGTGGCTGGCACACTGGATTGTGGAGACAATTAGTCTCTGTAACAGATTTAAGGGGTACAGAGCCCCCGCCTGGTCTGAAAGCCCATTCGACCAGGAGCATGACCACATCATGGGCCCTGTCTCGAGGGTATTTGTGTGGCAGCTAGCTGGGCCACACCGCATACGTTTGTGTTTTTACAAGCTGAATGTGGCTCAGCCATCCCTAGCTCAGGTGATACTGGACGCTGGAACTTTGCGGCCCTCTTAGTCCAGGTTCAGGATACCTGTTGGCTTTGGGGCTTTCTTGCAATATGGGAATGGGCTACATGTCCCACAGTGAAACACCGAACAGTTGGTAAAAGAACGTTAGGTTACTTAACGTAACCCCGGTTCTTTGATAACAGAGTGAGGTGTTTTACCAACACTTGACTCCTTGCATGGACACGAAAAGAAACTGTCCTAGAATGAGTCTGAGGTGGTTGGTTGACTGTGGTGTCATAATGGGGGCGGAGCCCTGAGCACAGCTCAACCAGTCTGTGTCAAACAGACATGATGTCATTGGAGCTTCCATAGTTGGTCACGCTGGAGCGTTTCCCATAGTGAAACACCTCACTCCGTTATGAAAGAACCAGGGTTACGTCAAGTAACCTAACATTTTACTCTACAAAGTTATTTGTCAATTTCTATGACTAAAATGCGTTGTTTTCGCCATTTGATTTATGTGAATAAATTACATCAACAATAAAAGTGTTTTAGTTGGAGGTACTAGTCCAGCACATACCATCTGAATTATGAACAGAATACTAAACTAAAATCACTTCTATTGACATGTGAAGTGGTGCAAGCTGGTTTATTTTGCACAGCGAGTTAATTCTTTCCTGCTGTTTTCAGCTTTCCAACAAGTATCTGATTATTATCTCCAACAGGTCTGTTAGAAACACTCTTACCCTTTCTGAAGCTTTAAGCAGAGTCCAGCTGAGAGGACACACCAGGCTTTTTGTTGCGTCTGGGTAACAAGCCACAGCTTTGATGTACAGCTTTAAATCTCGTGCAAGCAACTGATTCACCTCTCCATAATCGTAATCATCATACCTGCGAGCAAAAACAGAGCACATGTTTACCTATTAAATAAAAAGCAATGATCCTGAGTTTTCACTCCTAGTGGGAGAGCACAATGAAATAGTAATCTCACCGGATTCCTAACACACAGTGGATGTAGTTCCAGATTGCCCTCTTCAGATCGGGGCTGTGCATGGAGGGCAGGGTGGCCACGTTCCTGAATCTGTCGTCCAGGAGGTGGCCGATGTCTGAGTACAGCCTGTTTACTAAGGAGAAGCCGTGGTCTTCCCATGAATAGTCCTGCAAGTACAACAAAACTGTTAAACATCCTCATTTCAATTGTTGCAACCTGCGTAACTTATACCGCATCAAAAATATACTCAGCAATCAGCAACATTAAAATATGTCTTTCACAAACAATCTCGCCTTTTTTCCATTAATAACAGAGAGAGATGCTCATTTGAGTTTGTGAGTCAAACCCAGTGAGACGATGTGCAAAACATTCTGTCAGGTGCTATCGCACTGCAAACACATTTACATTTTGATTTGCCTACTGACCCACCACGGCGGCCATGACACGTTCCTGTTTACTGACAGAGCACCCGATGCAACATTCTCACCTGAACTCTCAACACCTGGAAGCGGTCCTCGTCCCTGCGGGCGAACTCCTGGTAGCAGAAGTCAGCGTCGGTGACGAAACGTGATGGATCCGCGAAGCACATCATCTCCTCCTCTTCTTCCATGTCTAAAAACGGAGACGACGACAGCAGAGATGATGACCAGAGTGCGTCAGTGTGTCTGCTCGAGTTTCACACCATGTGACCTGAATTTCACACTCAAGCTAACCACTCGAGCACAAACACGGATGCTGTCGGTTAGGGTTGCAGTGGGTCACCTGTTTGCTGGAGGGTCTGTGTCTGCAGAAAACGCTCGTCTCTCCTCTCTTGCTCCTCCTGGGACTTCTGGATCTTCTCCTTTAGACAAACCATGTCACAACTGGAGTCTAAAGACTGTCAACACAAAAACAGGCCGATGCAAAGCTCAAGTTAAACACATCTCCACACAAAGTAACCAGTGAGTAATTTAAGCTTGTGATCAGCTGGTTACAGGAAGCCAATGAATTTCAATAAGAAATAAAAGACTAAGCTTTTCCATTTCCTGGATTTTCTTATAAGGAAAATCTGTGGCTCTTCTTTTTTTTTCCCCACAGCACCTTAATCAAATTATTTACACAGCTATAAATCTTTACTCATTGCTCATATTGACTTCTGTAATGTTTATTACCATGCAGCGTGCTCGTTATACAGCTAATATTTTTTATTTTTTTTAAGCAAAACAACAAGTCATTGTAAAACTCTTACACTATTACATTTTAACTTGCAGTGCTTTTAGTCAAGTTGCTGATTTTACAGACGCCCGAGGTGAACCGATACTCTCAGTGAAAGTCTTCATAAATAAAGTGCTTCTTCTAGAAACACAGGTTTGGTTAGATTAAATGTGTTAAATAAGCTACTCCACATTTGTCTTGCAATTCTCTTAACTTTTTAATATTTTAACATGGAAAAGTCCGGTTTGTTTACCCGTCGTCGTGCTATGTGTTCAGAGGGCGCAGCAGTCGACTGAGGCACGCTGGTGTTGCCGTTGGCAGCATCAAAGGGGCAGAAGGTCAGCGGGGTACCGTTGGGAGATTTGGCAAGAGGAACAAAGTTGGAGTCTGTGTTGCATCCAAACACAAAGCTGCAGAGGGAGTGGCAGTGGGCCAGGATCACCACGGCCTGCACCAGCTCGGCCAGAGACCAGCACTGTTCGCCTGCCTTCAGCAGAGTCTGCAAGGCACAGAGACAAGTTTTAGTTGTACAAAAAAAATAAAATAAAACAGAGAAACATTTGGATTTTTTATTATTTTTTTTACAACTTTGTCATACCTGGATATGGGAGCAGGTGGTGAGCCAGGGCTGGTGGGCCAGCACCTTGTTGATGTGGTCGAGAAGGCGAAGGCGTAGGGGTGCTGCTTCCAAACCCTGCAACCACTGAGGGTCCCCGCCCACCCTCAGAAACTGAGCCGAGTGCAGGTACACCAGGTAGTTGCAGTGATGTTGTGCAGCAGCCTGGAACATAAAGTTTAAAAAAAAAACAGATTTTCAGACCATCTGGCACGTCTTCAACGTGCACCAATAACAGTAGCCCGGTCACTGACCATGATGGCGATATAATGGCGGTATGGCAGTGGCAGGGGCCCGTCCATGTGCAGGATGTAGTGCTGTGTGCGCAGGAAGCTCTCCAGATACTGAGGGTGAGACGCCATCTGCTGGGACACGGCGTCCACGCTGCCCCTGCTGACCAGTTTCTTCATGACCAGCAACGACACCCGCTCCTTCTCACGGTTCACCATCACCTGAAGAAAGAAGGACCGAAAAGGAGAGAAATGGTCGGTCTCTGACAGGAAACTTTAAAACAACCAACAGTTTGTTTCTGCCGTCCCGAGAACTTTCCTCCTTTTCTGTTCATACTGAGGAAGTAAAAATGGCTGAAATATTTACAATGTGGTAAATATTTTCTTCATTCAGTTAATTTTATTACAGTAAACTCAGTGTATTTGGAGTCTTTTTTTTTTTTGATTGCTAGTTGGACAATTAAGTAAATGTTTCAAGCTGTTAAGGGCTTTTTGATTAAACAAAAACATCCACTTGTTTTATATCGTTTAAAAGGTTCCCATTACCATGATTAACAGATATAATAACCATTTTCAAATTAAATTAAACAAATAAAAACAATTAGTAACAGGACGCTGACTTTCCTTGAGTGTATTTATGAAGTTTCAATTTGTTCCAAAGCTTCTTGGCTCGACACGGAGTTGGACTTCAGAGTCCACAGCATGTGATGACGGGGTCAGACTGTGCTTTGGACTGGAGTCATGTTCTGCACCTTAAATCAGCGGAAGAGAGGCCGTTTTGGAACAAGAGCAAATGCGACGCTGCGATACCGGCGCCACTGGCAAGTGAGCGCATTCCTGACTTTATTTCTCCTTCAAATAAACCGAGCACACAACAAGCCTCTCCACAGACACCAACTCACGCTGGTCTTATGAGCCCACTTAATGTTGATCAAATGTAGACGAGACAACGGATTAACTGCTGTTCATCTGAAATGAAAAAGGAAGCCGCAAACAAGCATGTCTAACATGCAGCTGGAAACTAACAAAAAACAAGAAGGGGGGGGGGGGGGATAAAATTGCCATTTAAAAAGGGAATTTACATACTTTGAGGAAGCACAGATGAAGAAACTAATATGAAAGTTGAGCTTCGGAGGCCTTGAAAAGGGAAGCTCGCCGGCACTGAAGAAACGGAGAAGGCCAAACATACAAAAATGAGAACGACTAGATCAAGAAGCCAAGAGCAACAGGCTGATGCAGAGAGAGAAGCTGGCCTGCACTCAGTGGCTCAACTGTTTATTAGATCTCTCGTACAATGGCCTTTAGGAAAAGAGGTCTGGGAGCTCGACTACTGACTGGATTTATCTGCATGTGAAATCTGAGCTGATTAAAGCCTGAAGCACAACAAATGCTGGCAAAGAATTAACAATTGCTGTCTAGGATTATAATTACTGTTCAAGTCAGACACATCAACCTATGCAAGACAGAGTAAATTACAACTAAGGGACCCCTGTGACTTAATTTTAGCTCACTGTGACGGTTTGGTTTATCTGAATGGAAGCTCCGTATGGAATTTCACTTCTCTGGTTCTCTGTTGATGGTTCCTGCCTGATCCTGGGAGACGCTCCACCTCTCATTCTATGTAGTCGGCCTGTTCAGATCTTAAAAAATAACATAAAACAAGTAAACACAGCACAATAAACAGACTAATCTTTCCCCGTGATCTTGTAGATTAAACAAAAAAAATTACAAAAAGGGATGAAGAAAGTTGGCACTAAAATGGAACATGCTTGGATGTGAACCATGACCTTCCCTCATCTGTCAACACCCCTAAAAATGTATACAGTATATATATAGAGAGTAGGAGAAAATGTAGGATGCACAGGTGCCTGTCAATCAAAAACAAACAAGAGCACATTCATAGAAGCATTGCTCTACAAACACAAGTGCTACTGATTAGTATGCTGAGCTGCAGAATCTAGGTTACTGCTCCACTGAGCGCCAACTGGTTTGATCACTGAAAAGAACAGCGCTGCACCAACCACTACTTCACAAACCAAGACGATGTCGAAAACAAGCCTTGAGTGACATTTTCCAAGAACCTAACATGCAGGAAAACATAAATCTAGTTGTCAGAAAATTAAAAAAAAAAAATAGCTCCGATTGCAAATTAATGATGAAAAATCCATTAAAAACTTCATAAGAACTGTTCCGTTCAGTGATTTTCCTCCCACACAGAACAGATCCAAAATGTTTGCTTTATCAAAAGATGTGGAAAAAGCTGTATCAA